CCCCATCAAACTTCGGTCGTTCCCCCCTAAGTCCCGGGTTTCCCAGCCCTAGAATCCCAGTCCCTAAAATTCTAAGCTGGGTGTATTCCCGTGCCCATCCCTTTTCCTCATTGGTCTGTCTACTCCCTGTGTTACAAGCAACCGAGTCTCTTGCATGTTGGTTGCGCCGGATCCTGCGTTTTCATTTCTCGGTTTCTTACGTAACCCTGTACGTATCGTCTGCTTGTCGGGTCATGTCATGGTCTGGATCAACAGCAGCACTATCATCTCGCATCTCTGCATCTCTGTATACTCATACAGCGTGACGTGCGCAGACCCATACACGATGATATATTTCTATATATATATATCTATCTAGATATGTATATATACACATACATCTACACACATCTACATATATCTATACATATACTTATATATATATACATATCTATATATGTATTCTATAGATAGATATACACATCTCTCCGTACATGCACATAGTTATCTATATATATCCCGCCATATCTATATATACATATATACATCTGTATATATATATATGTATACCCGACCCCCATATATATATATATACACATAGATATATACTTACAGCTGTACATGCGGATAGATAAACACGTACCCACACGTGCCCCAATGTGAGAGAGAGAGAGAGAGAGAGAGAGGGGGGGGGGGGGGCGGGGGGGGGGGCATGTAGTGGATCCCACAATCCAGTACATAGCATTTTTCGTTCTTGTTCATACGACAGAAAATAAAGAAAATCTGGATCGGTACTAACAATAGACCTAAGAAACTTTATCAAACAAATAATTGCATCAGATACTTTAATAGGCGTCCCTATTTAATTTTTGACTGTGTTAACAACACTAGTCGGGACTCTTCATACTAGGTCAAGGCCCTAGGCCTACGCAATGAAAGGCTTTGGGCAGGGGAAGAAAAGGAGGGAGGGGGAGCTCAGTGAAAAGGAAATACTTGGGTCTAAAAAGTCTCGTTTTCTTTATACTATCGAATAAACTAAGGCACAATGTGAGGTCAGTGATTATAAAACATTACCAAAATTGATTAACTTTTTGAACTAAAGTTTAAAAATCTCTTGGCGATGTATTTCCCTGTCCCGTACATTTCAAACAATGAAGAGAGGGAGCCAAAAGCTGAAGGCGAAAATGTGTGACGTCACGACTCTGCGCGATGTCGCGGTGGAAGGGTTCAGCTAGGTTTTCGCGGATTTGGTTGATAAAAGGGTAAGACTACACTAGCCAAGGTAAGACTTCTACGATAACCATTTAAACATTTTCTGGAAGAACAAAGAATGGTTTACCAGCAAGGGTAGTTTGAAAAAAATATGACGAGAAAATTTATCAAAAATCAATGGTTAAAAATTGTCTATTTTTCAACTTCAAATATTTCGAGACTCATTAGTCGCACATCGACCTGGAAAGAAGCGTTTTGAAGGCCATCCACAGGTCTTTAAAGACATATATCGGACTTGAATGTTGGTCCCCTAAATTAAACAAAAATATGGGCAGTTTGAACCCACTGTCGCGATGAGACGTCATGTCCGGAAACAAAACCCTATGGGACTTTCCGAAGCCAAATGACGCCATAGTGAGCGCGTTCACTGAAGTGCCTAAGTAAGAACAAAGATAGTACATAACAAGATGGGCCACTTCTCTCTTTGAGCCAATTAAAAAAGTGTCCTCAAAATTTGGTGGCGCCCTCTTCACAAAAGCGCACTCTTTGCGAACAGAGTTACCCTACTTGAGTTTTAAAAAATCAAAGTGAAACTAGCAAGTTTTGGGATAAATTTCGGAAGAACGCTTTTTAAAAATGATTACGCTGACAAAAAACCTCTTCCGGAGGAAAAGGAGATGGTTTTCTTCGTTTAATTTGACTTTAGAATGAAGGGCGAGAGGTCATTAAAATTTTTAAAAACCTAAAACTCCGC